TCTCTCTCTCTCTCTCTCTCTCACACACACACACACACACACACACACACTCACTCACTCTCTCATTCGGAACAGCCGCGGCGGTAAGGGTTACTCAACCTTTTCTCGCATTTTCACAAACTTCTCGTATGATGGGTCATTATCACTCGGTTGATGTTTGATGTTTCTTTAGCTCTGTTTTGTGTTTCGTGCCCATCATCCTGTTTCAGGCTCAGGAGTTTTGGGATAGTGTTGAGTTAGTGGGATCTGGATTACACGACATGTAAATTTTGCTCACGAGAACCAGTTACAGGGTCTAATATGAATGTTTTCTGTATAATATGATTATCTGAAAGCTACATCGCGTATCACGACTTTTCTTTTGAGATATAAAACCTGTAAATAACTTTTTTCTGTATTGATGACAACGATTCACCTTTTAGCCTCATGCAGAAGTGTAAATATAACTCTAGTAACAGGTCTTGTGATGTGTGAGAACTCAATGTATTAGTTAAAGCCACTGAGTCAATCTGTAGACGTGGTTAGTGTGCAGCTTTTGCATTAGTCAGGTGTTAATTCATAACTAGAGGAAGGAGTTCAGAACTAGAGATCAGTGCTTTGGGTTTGTTTTGAACAAATCAGCTGAAGTAACACTGAAGGACAAACATGCTCTCTTATTGCAGTGAGACAGAAGACAGACTAGTACATCAGATGAGATGAGATGAGATGAGGGGTTGTGTGTGTCCTCCTGCTCTTCATGTAACCTGGTCCTGGTTGAGATCATAGATGATGAATAGAGCACAGAACCTGGTGAAACCATCTCTGATAGATAGACCAGCACTTCTCAACCAGGACCTTTTCTGGTCAGATCGCAGACAGAAGGGGAAAATCTGCACTAAATGCATGGTTTGTGTGTTAATTATTTATTGGCTGTCAGCTACTGAAAAAGAACGGTTAGAAACTAAACGCTCATACTGTAAGGACAGTATAAAAGTCAAATGTTTTTGTTCAGCCTGTGTACTGTGTTAAATCTGTGTATTGTCGGGTGTTTGCAATTAAAGATACTAATAATCATTTTTGTTAATTTTGTATGATAAACCGTGTGGTCGCTGCTTGATGTCCAGTGTATAATGTGGCGTGATGTTAGTGTAACGTGGCGTTTTGACAGGCGTATGATACTGCTGGTAAAGGACCTCATGTTTTACTGCTCACACATGCCTCTTTTTCTGTTCTTTTCCCCCTAGAAAACATGTTTTTACTGATCAGAACTGACCATTAATATAACACCTTTTTCATAAAGTATTATGCTATATTTCCTTTTCTTGATCCTGTTGATCAGAGTAAACACACACACACACCCCATCGATCCTTTGCTAGCGCTTTCATCAGGAAGAGATCTGGGCAATATTTATGAAACTGATCAGATGTGACGACGGCGTGAACTGATGAAACACATCTTGATTGCATTGTATAAAAGTGTTTGTGAAAGCATTACAGATTGAGATGGATTGAATGTTTATTACTCGTTGTTTTGCGGCTACTTTTTATCCACAGCAATTAACCTGAGATAGATCTAATTGTGCATTCTGTTATTTCTTCTGCACAGTGACTCAGATCAGAAGAATGTGCGGTTAGTTATCTGCTCTGTTTGAAGACTAGGGCACGTAATGAGAGTTAAACACTGACTGGCTAGGAAACGGTCTGACTCATTCGTAACATGTAGAAAACAGGCAAATTTGTAAAATGTCACGTTGTCGTCTTGATGAGCTGTATCTGTTTGACTGAATGCGCCATGACAGACCCGATTCTCAGAGTCAGAAACAGCCAGAAACTTCAAGCTCTGCTGTGTTTTTGGCATCAGTTCATGAAGCTCAGGTGTGGGAATGTCTGTCCCTGTGTTCCTCTCAGAAATGAGTACAGTAGTCTTGATCCAAACATGACTCCTGTCATGACAGCGATGTGGAGTGTGTTTAGGATTGCGGCCTCGTGAGATTTAATTTGTGCAACAGAGATGTCAAATCCAATACAACCAAAGTCTTAAAACCCTTCACATCACACCTTATGACATCTGGCTGTGTCTTTTGGCTTGGATCTCTTGTTTTAAATGATGTTGAATCTGTCGACCAGCATGTGTGCTGGAGAATCTCTTCAGGATGAGGTCATTACACGACTATTGGCCTCAAGCACAACAGATGCAACAGATTCACTCATTGGCCGTCATGATTTATGTCGGCACTGCAGGATTATATAGCTAGTATTTTAAGGTATATCTGCAGTACTAGTCAATACATTGTGCTTACTTTCACATGTGTATGGGAACAATGTAGTGATCAAAACAAATGAAAACTTTCTTATATTTGAGCTTGTCTAGACTACACGCTACTGAGGGAGGACCATCTCAGTATCCACTATCAAAACACTCTCTTCCTTTTACTCATATTTGTCTACGAAGTTAATTTCAAGCTTTTAAGCAGAAGTGCCTTTAGACCGATAGGTGTTTAAGTTCACGAGAAACATTAAATTCAGTCAAGTGTGGCCAAATGTTTGACTGTGTGTGTTTGTTAGTCTAAATAGTTGTTGTACTCATATTTAGGTCATTCCATGTCAAATCAACCAAATTTCAGAAACTAACCAACATTTGGTTTTCGACCACTGAAAATGGGTAATATGCAGCAATTTCTCTGGGACTGAATGATGTAGGAAAGTGCCTCGAAAATTAAGATTCCAAAGGAAAAGTTTATTAAGAACTAGAATCTAAAATCATATTGCAATATATTTAATACTACTTGACTTATAGGCACGCAAACTTTGGAAAAATAATATTTATGGCCATATTGAAATTCCAATATCTCTGGAACTGAACCAAACAGGGCCTTAAAAATGAAAAAGCCTAAAGGAAAGTTTGTTAAGACCCAATATCTAAAAGGGCATTAAGATATATTTAATCCTTCTTGAGTTACAGGCCTGCAAACTTTGGAGAAAAAACTTGAAAAGTGCTCTTTCCCCATTTTTGAATGGTCACCATTGGCATATAATGCAACAAAGATCATTAAAGTCAACAGATTTTACTAACAGACCTACCAATCTCTGTGTGAAAGCAACATTATGATGCTGCCATCTTTCTAAAGTCATTTTTACACCCCTGTAATCTGGCTCTGAATCTCAGGGGAAAATTGTCATTTTGACCCCCCTCTACAAAAGTGTGTGTTACTCAGTAAATATTCATCCATGCCATTTAATATTTTGGTTTTCATCACTTTACATGTTTATCATTTTTCAGAAAAAATATGAGCAAAATCAAAAATTTGAGCAGGGGACCTCTGGTTGATTTGACACAGAATTACCCGTTTATAGTTGGAGACAGATGAGCTGAATGCTGATGTTCTGTACAGATGCGCCCATCAGCGTGTGAGGGCAGGTTCTGAACTGCGGCTCGCTTGTTTTTCAGGAGAGCATGTCATAACGCAGAGGATCCAGACTCTTCCAGACTCTCAGTGCTTTATTCACTCACCCGCTGAAGGTAAAGACATCATGTCCATCGCACTCAAACAAGTGTTTAACAAAGACAAGACGTTCCGGCCCAAGCGTAAGTTCGAGCCGGGCACGCAGCGCTTCGATCTGCACAAGCGGGCGCAGGCGTCTCTGAGCTCGGGGCTGGATCTGAGAGCGGCGGTGAAGCTGCCGCAGGGCGAGGATCTGAACGACTGGGTGGCCGTGCACGTGGTGGACTTCTTCAACCGCATCAACCTCATCTACGGCACGGTGTGCGAGTTCTGCACGGAGAAGAGCTGTCCGGTGATGTCCGGCGGCCCGCGCTACGAGTACCGATGGCAGGACGAGCACAAGTACAAGAAGCCCACGCCACTGCCGGCGCCGCAGTACATGAACCTGCTGATGGACTGGATAGAGATGCAGATCAATAACGAGGACATCTTCCCCACCAGCATCGGTGAGTGTTTCTCCGTTCCATCAGCATCTCTGAAATATTATAAATGTAGTTTTTGACTATATTTGGTATGAATATTATTGTTGCTGAAATTGCAACGTTTAAGTCAAGTCAAGCCACCTTTATTTGTAGCGCTTTATACAATACAGATTGTGTTAAAGCAGGTTTACAGTATTAAACAGAAAAATAGTGTGCTGATAATGCAAGAGGACGATAGAAAAGTCAGTTTTTCAGTTAAAGTCAGTTCATTGATGATTCAGTGATTCATCATCCAGTTCAGCTCTCTTCCAATAGTCTCTGTGCAATCAAGCTGACAATATTGCCAGAAATTAAGTGTTCTCCTCTGGCCAGACCAAACCAGCATAATTCCAGGCTGCAGCACAGGTCAGATTGTGCAGAGGACTTGTCTGGTTCTCATGGTCTCGTGCTGATGGTGGTCGAGGTGATGAGGTCTTCACTGGGGATCTGTCTCTGGGACTCATCTAGTTGTCCTGGTCTCCGCTGACACTCAGGGCTGTCGAGGTCGTCTCTAGGTGCTGATCCACCATCTGATCTGGATACAGACTGGATCTGGTGGCTACGGTGACCGCGAGTCGGAATAAGAAAGAAACAGACTAATATTAGCGTAGATGCTAGGGCTGTCACGATTATGAAATTTGGCTGACGATTAATTGTCTAAAAATAGTCACAGTTATTGCGATTAATTGTCTGTTTTAGGGCTATGTCGATTATCACGATTAATTGTAATTAAATAATTAATTTTATGGCTTTCATTATATAATTGTGATTAATTTAAGGGTTCAGTAAATAATTATGATGTTATCGTTTAATCTTTTTTGAGTTATTATTTTGCAGTGTAAGATTACATAGAGTATTCCAGATTCTAAGAATTGGCCAATACCGATCCAACACCAGCGCTATTTTTTTTCTACACCATTAAAAAACTACATTTGAATAAAAATATATAAGCTATGAAATTAAACTTTTTTTTTTTTTTTTTTTAAATACTTAAACTAAAGTATTATAATTGGAGTTTTACAGTGCTGACTGTCATAACTGAACGTGACGTGCTGTTTGAATGCTGAGCTGAGAATGACTGACAGCTGCAGCAGAAGGAAGATGAGTTTCTGTAAACCTAAA